AATTAACCTCCTCCGCCAGCAAAGCCCCGTGGCTGGTGTGGAGCTCCAGGCTCTCTGTGGCAGCAGAAACGTGCTGCCCTAAAACTTCCAGGTGAAGCTGCCTCGTTCCTTCAAGCTCCACAGTCGCTGGGAATGTTTGCTTTGTATGTCGCTTCCTTTGCTGCGCGAGTGTGGAAATCACATTGTGTTGCTCTGAATTGGTTGCCATGGGAACATCTCCACCTAGTCATTATCTACTCAGCCTACTGATTACATTAAACCAGGAGACAGAGATGTACCAGGGGCGCTGCAGCCACCTGTTCTGCAGAAAATGGTGATTGCTTCTGCGACATTTTCGCCTATGTGGCCACACGTTTCTCAGAACACTGTCTCTCCGTTTTCTCTTCTCTCGTTTCCCTCCAGAGTTAAGGAATGACGTAAATCCACAGGACAGTGGCATTGGGATAACTGAGTCAGTACATTCCCATTCCTCCTGCCCTCTTCCAGGTCCCTGTTTTCGTATCTCATGCAGAATAAAAATAATTGTCACTCTTTTCTCTCCCTCTGTTCTGCCCCTCCCTCCTCTTCTTTAAAGGTCTATGATTCCTGTGTCCCACACAATGGTGCTGAAGCCACATTTTTCTGCTACTTATCCAGAGCAGCTTCTCAAAATTCATACAAATGGCTCTTTTCTAAATTCTATAAAATATAAACAGTAAATGAAACTGGCTGTCAACAGGTAACTTTATCTTACATGTTTCTCAATAAAGAAATGCATGGGTCTGGATGCGTCTCATATGAGGAGGATTTTCTGATCTTTATTCCCGGATTGAAAGTGACATTTAAGGGGCGCCTGGGTGGCTCAGATGGTTAAGCATCTGCTTTTGGTTCAGGTCGTGATCCCAGGGTCCTGGGATCGAGCCCCACATTGGGCTCCTGGCTTGGCGGGGAGTCTGCTTCTCCCTCTCCCTCTGCCTCTCCCACTGCTCATGCTCTCTCTCTCTCTGTATCTCTGTGTCTCAAATGAATAAATAAAATCTTTTAAAAAAAAGAAGAAAGTGACATTTTAAGAGGTGTTGTCTTGAAGTAACTTTTTTTTGGTAGGAAAAACTATAAAAATCCACTGGCCTTGTAATTATTGTCTAAACCAGAATACTTAGGGAGTGAAAAACAGTATTAATAAGTTTGCCTAGACAACAGGTGCAAATTGGACTATGCCAGGCAAACCAGGTATATAACATCACCTTATATGTAGACAAGTACATAGGCATGGTAGTCCCGTGTCTTCAAAAAATAGGGGAAAGGGATACCTCTTCCAGAACAATGTCTGTGCAGTTAGAAATTGTAACTGTGGAATTTAAAATCTGGATCAGCAAGGAAGTTCCCTTTCTGTTTATACTTTTATCTCATGTAAATTAAGTCAGTGTGAGTCCATTCTTCAAAGTAAAGTGATGGCACTGGGGATTAAATGACTTTAACAAAGGAAAATAGGCCAGGCTGAATGTACCTATGGAGATGTCATAAACTTTTAACTTTGTTTAAAAATCTAAGTTAAGGGTTAGTCACTCTTTTCTGTTAAGGGCAATACAGTAAGTATTTTTGGCTTTGTGGGCCATATGGTCTCTGTTGGAAAGTAGCTGTAAATGAAGGACATGGCTGTTTGCCAATAAAATCTTATTTATGAGGCAAGCATGGGCAGGAGTACAGATTTACTGCCTTGGTTGTCATTGGCCCAATCTCATTCTAGTTATCAGTTTTAATGTCTAGAAACTTTGTTCTGATAGAAAGTTATTTTAGATAATAATTCTGACATCTTCTTGCTCCACTATGGTAGGCTGGGGCAGTAGCTAACAGGGCCAGTGGAGAAATGCAGTGGGCCTTACTATTTAATGTACATTTTTGTTACACATGTTCCAGCCATTCAAGACCTATGTTGAAGTGGGGGATAGAAGGTAAACCTCCAGCCGTACTTTTGACAGGGAGTAGTTGCCATGTGGATTTCACTAAGCATTTTAGAAGAAAGGCTTCCGGGATGCAGACACAGGGGAGAGAGGCTCTGGTGATTTGGGTTTTCCTATAAATGGTCTTTTAAAAAAAGTCCTACCTGGATTCTACCTTGGCAGAGAAAGCAAAACTGCAAGCACCTGAGGAAAATGAAGTCTTTGGTCTCTGCTTATACTTGGAAAAAAATGACCCAAAATGAAGATAAATGATACAAAAAAAATCACTTTAAATGAGTCTGGTACTTACTGTGTAGAATTGGAATCAGTTGGTAAAATAAAAGTTTTAGGAGAAAGTCCCAAAATGTCCCTTTGGAGTTTATCTTTAAATCATTATAGAATTATATTTAAAATGTTTCCTTTTAGGCAGAAAGCAGATACTAACAACTCAGGCAGGCAAACCTCAACAAGAACATGAGTGATATTAAAGAGAATTAAATAGGCTCTATATAAAGTAGTAGGAGCTGTGACACAAATATGACATCTTAAGTGACTGAAAGCAACACAGACAGCCACACACCCGCTGCTACCTGGTGACAAGCTGCTGTAATTGCAGGCTAATCTAAAAATGGTGAAGAGTGACCACAGTCATGTTGTGGATTCTATTCTCAACTCTCTAACCAGGTATAGCAGGTGTTTGACAATGGAATGGATAGTACCACAAATAAAGGAAAACCTCAGAGGGCTTCAGTCCTATTTGAGCTGTTGAACAAAATGTAGGGGATGACTGACGTTTATAATTATTTAATATAATCTTTTTGAGGGGATCTTTTGATCTAATTGGTAAGTTAACAAAAGTTAGTGAGAGGTCAGTTCTTTGGGATCTTGTAGTCTATTTAGGGATGTGTTTTATACATCTAGGAAAAAAAACTGAGTCCACCATAAAGCAAAATACAATGAAGGTAAATTGATATTGCCTTAGCATGCTTTTCTGATAAAGAGACATAATTGAAGGAGTTATCTAGAGTGGAGTGCTGAGCAGAGGAGAAAGGGAATTTCAGAATGGACAGCCAACACCGACACTTAATGTGTGGAGGGTCGTGAGCAACAGATGGGGTAAAATGGGAGTGGAGGGACAGAGAGCATCTCATACCAGGGGAAGGAGACTGGGGGTGAGTCCAGGCACTAGGAAGTTTCTGGAGGACCTACAGAAGAGGGGTAACAGGATGGCACCTGCTTGTAAGTGGTTTGTTATATAGTGAATAATATAGTGAAATATTATCTGCATTGGTTTTCTGTTTAAATTTTTTATATTTTTTTCAGTTTTTTTAATGTTATAAAAGTAAAACAAACTAATTGTAAAAAACCCAAAATCCAACTGTTACAGAAACCTATGATGTAGATAGTGAAATATTCCATAACCCCACTTACAAAGATAACTGCTATTAGCTGATGTTGCTTATTAACAGTAGGATAATTTAGAAACAGATTATATCATTTGGGACCTTGAAATTATGAAGAAAAGTATCTCCTATTTTCCTAATTCATTCATGCCTTATATTAGAAACAATGATACAATATCTCGTCTAATATTGAAAGAGGCTTTTTGTGTTATTTTCTCCATCTCACACTTAGTAGGTGAAGCCATTGGAGAGTCCTGGTCTCTGTGAGACAGTGAACTAACTGGATCCTTTGCTCCTCCCCATCTTGCTTGGGGGAACCATATGCCTGGCAACTGGAAATCAGTACAGTCTGAAGACAGTCAAAGGGTTAACCTCCATGGGTACCTGGAATAGCCTAGTGGAGGTCATATGGAAAGGTAAGAGATACCATCAGAACTCACTATATCCCCCAATATATCTAATAGTGCATTGGCTTGGCAAATCAATTGTGTCTTCTAGAATGTATTTTTGGGGGCTGGGTTGGGGAGGTTATCTCTAGTATGGAAAGGTTACCCCAAATCTCTGTGTCCCAGAAAGAGCTGAGAAAACAGAACATATTGCACATTGATAGGGAAGTTTAATGAGCTAGGAGATTATAAGCATCTCCACTCCCTACTGCCTTTTTTGAGGATCTAAAGACAGCAAGTTTTAACTTCTCCTAGTAAGTTTTAGGGGTCAAGGTAAATCAAATTACCTCTTTCGCTGAACTTGTTTATTCCAAAGGAAAGTAATACTATGTGGGTGCAACCCAGAACTTTGAAATTTATGGATGGGAAGTGACATGAGAACCAAACACTGAAAACCTTGGAGCAAACTGTGAAATTTATCCACTTTCTCCCTCCACCGGCCCCTCCAAGTCTGAAGTGCAGGATGATTGTGATCGTGAGAAGACATGAAATCAGGCAGGGTGACTGGTCACTGGTTTGGGTTTCTAAAGGAATTTGAGATTAACAGAATTATGAACTGGAGGTTGAGCAAAACTCCAAATAAGGAGTCATATATGAAGGGGAAAGGTAGAAATTAAGGACTTTCTGAAGTATTTGTAATGGAGGAAGCAGCAAGTCCAGACCTCTAGGGCTCTGCCACAGTGAAGAGTTTTATCGGAAATGTAAGAACGAACCTCAGGGACCTCGATTAGATAAAGAAGGAGAATGAGACAACAGACAGTTACTAGGGGCAGCTGCAGAATAGGTTTTAACAATAAAATAGAATCTCATCTGGTCTAGTCCTGGATGACAGTGGAAAGAATGTGCTGGATAATGAAAGGAATAAGCTTCCCTGTATAGGGCTTCACAGTTTTTAAGACTTACATTTTTATTTTAACTTTTAATTTTAATTTTAATTTTTCCCACTTTATTGAAGTTTATTTTTTTCTTCTCAAATTTTTATTTAAATTCTAGTTAGGTTAACATGAGACTTACATTTTTAAAGCTGACCTGATCTCATTTGATCCTCACTAAAGCTCTGGCAGGTAGGCAGTGCCAGAATTACTTTACTTAAAGACAAAAGGTTAAGTTCCATTTGGGAGGGGAGACATGGAGGAAGGAAGGCAGACCTCCGAGGGTTTTGAATTTCAGAGGGAAGTCAGTTTTTTTTTTTTTAAACATTTGTTCCTTTCCAGGTACACTTGATTACTCACTGTTAAGTAGGCGGAAGTCAATGAATGGGTAGGAGCCACGGCGTTCAGCAGGAACCCCCGTCTGACCCCTTAGTCGTACATCTCCTAAAAAACAGAAAATCCAAACACATGTTTGAAAACGTTGCCAAGTGTATTCACTTTTCCTCTGCAAATGCTCCTACCCACTTATGTCATTGGAGCCAACACCAAATGTCAGGAGGAAAATGATTTCCATTCACCTTGCATAAGAGAGAGCTACTTGAGAAGGGATATTTAATGAATGCTGAGTGTAATGAACTTGGCAATACTCTAATGAGCGAAGCAGCACTCTGCTCCCTTTCAGATCTGCCTGGAAGATGGATCAGTGAAAAATTTTAGTAATTTACAAAATGTCCATAGTCTGAGAGCCACAAAGATGAGGCATCTGAGTCTGGGAGGACGAATGGTGTTCTGGGATTATAGCTTTTATTCTTATTAGCATGTTTAATTGCCCAGTGTTATTTCTCTTGGTTCCAGCACAGTTGCCTTTTGACTGGTGTCCACCATCCTGTTCCCCAGGCTGTATCCACTGATCTGCTTTAGAACCCGCTCAGTGAAGGCCTGCCTAGCTCCAGGTACTTCGGACACTTCACCACCATTGTACATAACATAGTCGCTAGGGTTTGTAGAACTTGTTTTTTTGTAGGTTTCCTTTAATGTCTGTGTTCACTTTCCTTTGTGATGTGTCTTCTGCCTTCCCGATCAAGGGAGGTAATGAAGGAGAATGGAAAGAGCACAGGTTTTAAAACGGAACAGACTGTGGTCAATTTTGGCTCTGACGCTACCTGTACGATCTTGGGAAATTTATTTCTCTTAGCCTCAGCTGTCTCCCTTCAAAGTGTCATTGGTTGGAGAATCTAAAGTAACACTAGGTGCCTTGCAATAAATGCTGCGTGTACTTATTTCTCAACTCCTGCAAAGCAAGGATCGTGCATACTATGTGTTTGGCATTTTTCCATAGTGCTTTGTGTATTGTATGGCACATAACAGACTCTAAGTGAATGTCTTCTGTTGACAAGAGTAAATATAAAGACAAAATTTGCCAATTAGTACATAAAGTATGGAATTAGAGGAGAGGTAAAAATACATGAGATCTACTATATTTCTGGAAGAACTGAATCAGGGAAGGTTTCAGTTCCATGAGTAATGTGTCCGCTCCCATAAACTACTCTTTCCCAGATGTGAGATGGCAGCGGGGCCTTAGCCTATGAGTAGAGAGGAGGGACAGTCTTCTCTCCTCCATTCCTACCTCCTGGAGTTAACCAGGGCTTGGGTGAGATCCCCTTCAGCTATAACCCGCACCGCCGGCAATGTTTAAAATATCCCTTCCAGATGAATGTTGTATTTGGGGCTTACGAACTGCAAGCTGTGAGCCTCTGGACTATTCTGTGCTTTGAATTTTATATTAGTACCTTATTTAATGCTTTGTATAATCTGATATTATAGTGCCATACTGATATTAAGGAATGTTACAATTTATGGAATAAAGCAAAGTGGGAGGAGGAGGAAAAGATGGAAAAGTACTTTTATAAATATGAGTATCATCTGACATCAAAGAAAGGAATGCTGTTAGCATTTGGCACGTTCCTGTAGTAGATGGCCAGCAGCTACAGGAAAGCCACTGGGGAGAGTTAGAAGGTTTTCCTGTCTTCAGCAGCTTGTCTTGAACACCCCATGTTTATAACACTCCAGAAAGTTTACGAAGCACTTTCACAAACATCACAGTATATTTATTTTCTTGTTTATCTCATTGGATCCTCACAATAATCTTGTGAAGAGAGTCACTATTATTCTTTTTACTTTATAGGTGAGAAAAAGGAGGCTCAGGGAAGAAAGCAAAGGATTGCTATTCACCTACCCATTCCCAGCTCAGGGCTCAGGCCCTTTAAAGGAGCTCAGTAGAGGCGCCTGGATGGCTCAGTCGGTTAAGCATCCAACTCTTGGTTTCAGTTCAGGTCATGATCTCATGGGTTGTGGGATTGGCCCTGAGTGGGCTGCCCACTCAGCAGGGAGTCTGCTTGATGATTCTCTCCCTCTGCCCCTCCTTCCGCCTCCCCCCCACCCCCCGCCCCGAATAAGTAAATAAATCTTTAAAGGCACTCAGTAGATAGCTGTTGATTTTAAGGGACTGCCTAAGTTTATGGTCCTTTAAGCTTAGAATTAGCAGGGCTGGTTCTTAAATCTACGTTACTGAATTTCACGGCAGAGCTCTGTCCTCAATACCATTGGTTACTAACCTTAAGGAGTGTGTACGCTTGGTTTAAAAAAAAATCACAGACCCCCACATGATAGAAGGTGAAATTTAGCAGCCACTGAGAAAATACAGCATGTCAAAATGATATAATACATTCAGCACTGCCTAAATGATTTATATTTTAGTTTTAGAAGACAGACATATACTTCAAAACTTCTGCATGGCTGAGACTGTATTCCTTTGGTCTACAAAGCTGGCTAGGCTTTAGGTTTGTTGACCTGTCGTGTCATCCCTGTAGGCTTCTCTGAAGGGTTTTAGGTTCACCAATTGGAAATCACTTGTCCACTTGTATTTTTTCCCCCTCAGTATTAGTAAAGCATTCCTCCTGACTTTGCAGTTCAGAAGGTACCATTTTCCCAGAAAATGTCTGTATAATATCAATAGAGGTTTTAAAGCCTCTGCCAAAATTTATTCCATTCGTCCATCTGACAGTCTAAGGCAGAGGATGCCCATTATCTTGTAAGGCTTTAGGTTTAGGGAAACGTCGAGGAGATAACACCACATGGCAGAATGGGTGAAGGGAAGGCAATGCATGAGTAATTCAGAGACTCCTGTTACTGAGAGGATCAATATTTCACCATCTTGGGTGGTTGTGGGCAAATCAATAACCACTGGGAGGTCCGGTTTTCTAATATTTAAAGTAATTAGCATAATTACAGCAGCTTTGCCTACCTCATAGGCTTGTTGTGAGGAAACTGTAACGTGCATGAAAATAGCGTGATGGGTAACAGTTATTGGATCCTTACACTGGACCGAGCATTTTACACGCCTTATTGAATATCATCTGCCCAACAACCCAGCAAAGTAGGTGTTATTATGAGACCATTTTGCAGATGAGGAAACTGAAGCCAGTGGAAATTAATAATTTGTCTGAGCTCACAGAACTAATAAGTGTGGAGATTGTGCTCAAATTCAAAATGGGCTCTTAAACCCCATGTTCTTAACCCCTCTCCTGTATTATCAGGGTAAGAAATTGTACAAAGAGTTAAGCATTGACTTTTTATTGCCCAGGGTATGCTTTGATTGCTATTTGCCAATAAACCAAAGATATAGTCATCATGATTCCTGGAACCTGAATGCCAGGGGAATCCACCCCCTTGATGAATTCGAGATTCAGTCAGATAGATGTTGTTTATTTGAATAGCAGTCCAGCGGAAATGGGCTGAACGAGTAAGACAACCAAATCCTGTTCTGGATCAACAAGGCATCTATTATTTTCAAGTAAGAGATGGAAAGCAATTATTAAAAATATTATTCATTAGAACTGAAATTACCTAGCAAATAATTTAATCAAGTTTTTAATTAAGTAGAATTTTCATGATGTAATGCCGTTTTGGGGAAAAAGAAACAGTGAAGCAAGATGATAGCAAGGACACCTAAATAAACAGAACAAAACAAATCAACAGCAACAACAACAACCTACAAAACCCATACCTGAAAGGTTCCTTTCAATGCTTGTTCTGTCTATAACTACAATTACCGTCTTGAAAGGGGATTACTCATAAACCTAATGATGGTCTTTAGGTGTTGTAAATAATAGTGTTTAAAAAGGATGAAATCATGTTAAAAATACTAGTAAGGCAGGAAGGACAATCCTAAGTGGGCTAACAAAGCATTTTAGAAATTTTTCCACATGAACAGTTAAATACAAACAAGCCAAACATTCTGTATCTTGAACATGCTATTTATTGGAGACTCTGCTGAGGTGAACTTCATGTCTTAAGTATATATTTCTAATGTAGAAAGTTCTCTCCCTTTCTCCCTGCTTTTATGAGCCCCTTCTGATACTAAATTGCTTCAGTATGCTCGAGGGAAGAGAGAACTACTTCAGCAACACCCGTCCCTGGAGAAGCAGAGGCCGCTGGGCTGACGTCCGAGAAACAGAACAAGTGGAGTCCTGCTGGACTGCTTTTTCTGGCCTCTGGTCTCACGCCATCATCTATTTACCTAAGGCCTTATATCCAAGCTAAACAATTATTTTGACTATTCATTAGGCCCTTGTTTAACTTAAGCAACTTTTTCTCTGGCAAGTGAAAAGTGCTATGGAAGCTGGGTCGGAAGTGTTGACAGCTCAGAGTCGTGTCCTCAGCCTGTCCTTATTGTGTTCCAGAATGAAACAAACAGCAGGGGAATTCTTATTTTGAAAGGGCTGCTTCTCTTTTGCCCCTTCAGGCCAAAAACATACCACGTCGTCCTCGGGTATTTCAGGCTGCAAACACGGGCGGAAAGCGGAGCCGAGTGGCTCAGGGAGCCAAGCCCCGGGGACAAGCACTCGCCGTCCCAGGGGCCGTGGTTCCCGGATGGCCCTCTTGCCCGCTTGGCCTCTCGGGCTGTCTCGGCTTCACGCAAGCTTGCGCTGGGGAGCAGACGGACGTTCTGCGGCCTCTTACGTAATTGGCAAACACAGTGGAGCCTCTGGCAGCGACGGCGACTTACGGTGGCTGCAACACCGGCCACAGGATGATGAACCAGAGTCTGGCCCCCCTTGTGGGGTCAAGGTCACGTCAGGGTGGGGGAAGGGGGTAGGAAAGGAACGGAGCCGTGCCTCCTGTGCTCCTGCTGCATCTGAGACCATGAGGAAGGTGCTGCGAACGGCTGCGGGAAACACGGGGGCAGAGTCCTAGCAGCGGTGTCGCTCTGAGCAAGGATGAGCTGGTGGTCGCGTCGGAAAGACGCCCCAGTGGAGCAGCCCGGATACGGCGGGAGAGGAGGGGCTCTCGGGAAGGGTATTCCTTTGAGCTTCCTTAGACAGTACTAACGCCCGGCACTGCTGTAAGCTTCTAAAATGGAGGCAGAGAGAACCCAGACCCCTGAACCGCAGCCAGGAGCTTTCATCAGCTGGCGGCTTCGAATATTTTAGATGACCACTCTCA